AAATAAATATTAAATAGAAAGAAAGAAAAATACATAAAATTTTAAAAACTTGCAAATCCACGTTTGCCCACAATAAGAATACTATGAGTGGACTTCAAATCAGGTATGCAGGTTACATGTGAAGTCTTGAAACAGAAATCTCAAATGTGCCAGTTAGGTTACATAATGGTAATGACCCTGAAAATAGAGCAAGGTTCCCATTTCACTGGCGGTGAGATACAGTTGGAGCTGCAGGATAACAATTAGCTAGACCATGGAGCCCAGTAATGACCCATGTGCAAACAGTACGTCTTTTTTTATTCCAAATTCATAGATATTTAAAGTTCTAAGCTGAAACAAACAAAAGTTAATCTCTTCATTCCATATAATCTTTCTGTTAACTTGGCAGATTTCAATTAAGTTTAACTCTCTATCCATTTTATATCTATTCATTTCTGACCCACAAAATCCCAGCTGTAAATTTCTATCTCCAAACAGCCCTTCTATTAATCTACTAAGTAGGTTAATTCCTGAGTTTTACAGTGGCCACTGAACATATCGCAGGTACTAATCCACTAGTGTTTTTACCGAAATTATGTTTGTACAGAAAGGCAACAAATAAAGAAAATAAACAATACATTCTCGACAGTTGCATAAAAAACTACCGCCAAATGTGGCGGCTCAACACAGTAAGAGCTTATTCTCTCTTCTTGGTTTGTGGGCCAATAATTCAGGAGCAGCTTGGCTGGGAAGTCATAGCTTCAAGTTCTTAGTGGGTTACAACTCTGTTTCCTAGAGCCTCAGTTGTCTGAAGGCTTGACTAGGATTGCAAACTCTACTTCAAGATGGCTTGCTCACATGGCCAGCAAGTTGCTCTGGCTAACAGATCTTATTTCCTCTGCACATGGGGACCTCTCCACCAGACTGCTTGAGGTTCCTCAGGGCATAGGGTCTGGCTTCCCCAGAGCAAGTGATCCAAGAGACGGAGGTAAAGGCTTTTAGTGTGTTTTATTACTGAGCTTTGAAAGTTACATACACACTGTCGCTTCTGCAGTGTTCTATTTGTTATACACATCAGCACCAAGTCTGTATGGGAGGGAATTGCATAGGGTATGAATAGCAGGAGGTGATTTATGGCTACCTTGGAGGTCAATTACCTTGGTTTTCCCTCTGGGACACAAAGATGCATATCTCTTCCACATGAAAAAAAGCACCCTTACTTCCTCCAAAGGCCCTTTAAAGTTCCACTGTGTTCATAGGATCTGCTCCAAATCCAGTAACTTTTCATCTGAGTCAAGTTCATACCACAATGAAGCTCTTAGTGAAGTCTAAGAACAAAGGAAGTTATTCAAATACAGCTTCTCATATGAAGACATGTGAACAAGTTTTGTACCATCCACACACCCAACATATAAGGTCAGGTAGGCATAGGGTAAGTGCTTTAGACTCTAACTCAAAAGGGGGAAATAAGATGTATGCAGAAGTAAGTGGTCCATAGTGGTTCTAAAGTCCAATCAGGTGCATGTTGGTAATTCCCAGATTAGGACTCAGTCCTAATATTTCCTGGAAGTGATTTTTTCATGGCTTGTGGCTCTGCCCTCTGGTTCACAGTACTACCACTCTGATCCGTGCTTCCTTCTTATGCAAAAAGTAGCCTGTGTTTCTAGCTGCATAGTTTCCTGGCTGTGGAAATTAAGGGTCTAAAGATATAGTTTTATTCTGTACTATCTCTGTGCCTTTCACTCCAAGCTGGTGGTGATACCACAAGTACAGCTCTCTTATAAATCATTCCTCTGAATGTTATTCACTCCACGAAGCAAATGCCACAGCCACCGTCTGATAGAGATCAACTTTTGTTTGTTTTTACATCAGACTTCTGCTGACATGTTAAGGGAAAAATGCCCTAACATTATTAAAATCCTTATTCTTTCACCCAGACGATCTGTAAGACATACCAGTAAGCTGCCCAGAGGTTCTACAGTCTGCCTGAGTGGTCCTTTGAGGCACGACCAAACACATTTTGGATGTCTGACCATGAATTTCACCATCACACTTTATTGTCATCTTTATCTTATTGTTTACTAGTAGTTGATCTTTTTTCTTTAAAGTTTATTTAGTTTATTTTGAGAGAGAGAGAGAGAAAGAGTGTAAGAAGGAAAGAGGAGGGGAGAGAATCCCAAGCAGGCTCCATGCTGACAGCACAGAGCCCATCTCAGGGCTCAAACTCATAAACCACGGTATCATGACCTGAACAAAAATCAAGAGCTGGAGGCTTACCTGAATGAGCCACCCAGGAGCCCCTGGTAGTTCGCCTGGAAGAGACTTGTTCATTTTTTCATTCTTCACCATCTGGAGAGACTAGAATCGAGAAAAAACACTTTATTTTCAAATCCATCAAGTCTTGCTTTCTTCTTATTTAATGTTTTTGTAGTTGTTGTTGTTGTCTTCTTCATCCCCTTTTATTATAGGTAGAAAAGGTTCACTTTTCTCTGCCTGAAATGTCCTTAGCTAGGTTACACAATTCACTAAGTATAAATTTTCCTTTCCATCTCTTCATGGTGTTATTAGGCTTTCCACTGCAACATAGCCGGGACCCAGTGTCTGTCATCCCCAGTCATGTTTATTGCTTGCTTTCTTTGATGCCATTACTGACCCCAACCTCCTCGAGAGCCATGAGGCTTGTGCCGACGGCCCTTCTAAGGCCTGTCCAGCTTCCTTGTACCTCCCAACCTCTCAGTTACCCATATCTTTGGGTTTTTGTTTACAGTTCCCTCCTGATACCAGACCTATTATTAGGGATTCAGATTTGCATAAACAGATCACCCCCAAATTTAATAGCATAAAACCATGATTTATTACTTCTCCTGGGCCTTTCCATAAGACTCCTCATGGTGTGATCAGTTAGCAATCTCAGAGGCCAAGCCAGATGCTGGCGGCAGAAGTCACCCATGGCCACCACTTCATAGTTTCCCACGGACCATGGACTCAGCACTTATTCAGTGTAGGAGACTATGAAAGGGTATGGACACCAGAGGCAAGGATTAATGGGCTTCCTCTTAGAAATGTTAAAGATAATGTAAGGAAAGGGGAAAAAATTAAATTTTTAATGGATACATAGTAATTTGTCCTATAATAGCTTCTCCTAGAATGCATCCCATTTAAAGAGTGAAAGGCCTTCACAATTTCAAACTCCAGAATTTATCAAGGCCAAACAGAACATTGTTGTGAGTGACTGGTGAAGTCTTGTTTTATGAACTTAATTATGTCCAATTCATCGTGATCTGTGTGTCACACAGCTGCCTTGCTTTGGAAAAGGTCTTGTTCTCAAGAATAGACCTACTCATTTTGAAATATTTCAAAGCTAGTGTGGGTATTTAGAGACTCCCAAGTACTCAAAAAACAGCACCAAATGATCGTCTTGTTAAGAGTAGTCAATAAAGTTACAGCTGCAGGTTTTTTCTCTGCTAAGTTTAGACATTATACTCCATTCAATTTTATCTTGATTAAACAGATTGAAAATCATATGTATGCATACAACTAGCCTAAATGGTCCACTTGCCTGAGATCAGCAGTTTTCTGAGGAGACTAAATGCAAAAGAAAAAAAAAATGGCTTAGGGAAAAAATATATATGCCATATGTTTGACTTTGCAGTAGAGGTTTATATGTATTTTTTTAAGTCAGGAAATTTAAGTAGAATCCTGTTTTTACATAGTACTATGTTGATGGAAAATGATGTACAGCTGCATGATTAACTCTTACAGGGAAATCAAATGATAATTCTTAGTCTTTAAATATAACTCATTAATAATGGGAGAAAGAAGGCTTCTATGGTCCTAAACTACTATTACTAGTGAAACAGGACATTTAAATACAAATCACTTCCTGGTCAACTTTTTGGAAAATTTTCTGTTGGAGACTCTCTTTTATCCACCTAGTGACACATCTCAATTGCAACCCATTCTGTATAAGTTGTTTTCTTTCTTTAGATATAATATTAGATTGAAATGAATATGATAGAAACTTCAGAATTTCAAGCAGACAAATTAGTAGACTTTGAATTTGCTCTGCTAGGAAAATTTGGTGTGAGAACCAATATGAGAAGTAGATGCTTTTTGAGATTTTCCGGAGATACTTAATTGAATAGAGAAATGTTTTTTTCCTATGGCCTACAAATTTAAAACACATCATAAGAATTATGCATTTTTCTATTGAAAAGGCATTTGGTGTTGATTTTTTTTCAAGTTATTTTGTAATAACATTTTAAATATCTGATTTTAAACTTGGCATATGCATGTTCTATTCCTTAACGTTAACAGTTTACTGTCTTGTTGTTTTGCTGTTCATTCTCTTTTTAGTTTCATTTCTTATCATTTATGGTCTCTATACCCTATTAGGTACATAAGATGGATATTCAGAGCAAGGTCGCTGAATCTTATGCCTCACTTTATTTCTTTATAATGTTTCATTGGATTACAAATTGAGAAATCATTTGTAATGCAGATATCTCTTGGATTGAGTTAGGCGTTGATCCATAAAGGAAATCCACCATAATCAATAACAGGTTAGCTTCTTGACATCTGAATCACATGCCTCTAGGGAATTCAGAAAAAAAAGAAGTAAATATTAAAGGAAAGCCGTGGGATAGCTGGGAAAGGTCTAAAGTTTTAATGCTTTAACCTCTGAAAGAGAGAGTCAGGTGAGGAGGGACAGCAGTGAGCCTTCAAGAGTGGAGGGACAGAGAGAAGTGATGGAGGGACAGAGAGATGTGACGGAAAGAGAAAGAAGACATCACAGAGACAATATGAGGGCTGGTAGCCCCTGAGACATTACCTAGGTCCAGCACTTCCTTTTTCCCCTGAAATTATATAGTTTTCTCAAGAAACCATTCTTCTGCATTGACTACAACATCAGCAAGGACCAATGAGACAGGATGGCTGTGGCAGGGAAAACACCCGGAGGAAATTTCATGAAGCATGTGGTACACACAGAATGTAACGTTCCCACTTCCTCCCTCTCGCAGGTTTTCTGAACCAGATGAATAACTCCAGTCACTCCGTCCTTCAGCCTTCGTTCCAAGGATGCATGCAGCTTGTCCAAGTGGACGACCAACTGGTAAACTTGTACGAAGTGGCACAGAGGAGGCCAGGGAGCTTTGCGAATGTCAGCATCGACATGTGCGCCATCATAGACAGGTATGGCCTTTCTGCCCAACCTCAAACCACCCACACTTTCTACAGGCATGATTTTGTTGTGGGACAAGGAAAACACACACACACGCACAGACACACCCTTTAAGAGTGGAAGCGAGAGAAAACACCTGTCATGCCGATGGTATATCTGTCATCTTCGCGGTGACGTTTCTATCGGGATGTGGAGATATATATAGCAGAATAGTCTGTAACGTCACACCAACCTCCCTCAGTGAGTGTGAACATGATGCAGGTAGTTTTGCAAGTAACAGCTGAGTTATAAAGGGGTTCAGTTCAGTTTTACTTTTGCTTCCTGCTCCCACAAGTAGAAATGTCCCCTTCTCTCCTTGTCTCAGTCATGACTCATCCTCAGCATATTGTCCCCTCTCAGGCCCTTTCCTGAGGGAAAGAAGCTTTAAACAATGTTGGCAAGCAGTATGGGAATTTACTGGAGCAGAATATTTAATGTAATTGAGTCTGCTTACAAAATATACTGGAAACATTGCAAAATCTAATCTGTATTAATTTTTGCAAATCTAGGGAGGAGCTTCTTTATGAAAACTTAGTTGACTTCTCACACAGTAGAAAGATACAGCTTTTATGTGAAATATGATGATGTCATTGCATATATTAACCTTAATATACTTCTAGAAAGTGCCTTTAATTCCAACATAAAAAATATTATTTTGAGATGTTTTGTCCGTAAATAAGCTATATCTAACTTTGTGTTGACTTTAACGTGGTGAATGTAGGTGATTTTCTAAGCTATTTTCAAGGTTTTTAAGAGAGGACTCTCCTATTCTTAAAAACAATTCTATTAATTTTGTATTTTGGAAGATGAAAGTTTTAGCAGTCTCTGTCTATCCCCAACAAAGTGTAGACCATCAGTCTCTAATAATTTTATTTCATTGAAAAGGAGGTACTTGGGGAAGTATTCAAAGACATAGAATGAATCTTAAAAATATATAAAATCATCTGTAATGAAGTAAGTTTGCTTTTATATAATCTCAATAAAATAATACCTGTGTGAATGGTAAATTACAGTTTAAATGATGGCTCTAGAATGTAACATTTTTAAGCCTTAACATCTTTATAATAAGACTCAATGGAATAGCATAGTTCTTATTTCTGTTATATATTTGCAAACACTCATCCTGATAGCCTAAACAATTTACATTTAAACAGAACAGTGAACAATTTTAATGGAAAGATATCCCTATTTTTTGAATGATCAGCAATGTAATAGCTATTATTTCTTCCTAAAGCAAGTGGTAGCAATCATGAGAAAAACTGACAGATGACCATCTGTCTTAACGTATGTTTTAAGACCATACGTTGTGATGTTCAATATTTATCTATACATTTTTATTAATTGTTTTCCATACAGGAAGGTTTTCCTTCTCAGCAATAGGTAGACAGAATATTGAGTCATTTTAGTACCTTGTCCATTTTCCATGTCAGTAGCTTTAATGTTACAATAATCTCTGTCAATAACACCCAAGTTAGTTCACTTAGCTTTTGTCAACAGGCTGGATTTTATGGTGATGTTGCCGTTTCACTTCAAATAGTGAGTGTCCTGGACATTATATTTAAATTGCTTGCTACCAAAGAAGTATGGATGATATGTTGAGGCTTTAATGTTTTACTTCCATGGAGAGAGGAGATGCTAAATTGGCCCCAAAAGAATGAAAAAGATTTTTGTAGATTAAAAGAATGGAAAATGGCACTTCTGATGAAAGCAAAAACACAAAAGATGAAGAATAGGGAATGCAAACTTCAATTTTTCTCAGATACAGGAATATACATAATTTTTTTTTGCCAAATGGATAAGTCTCATTGTCCATCTTGCCAAGTGACAAGATGAACTTGCCTGTAGCTGACAGAATAAGGAGTATGTCTTTCTTAACCTCCAGTAGGAAAAGCCAAGAGAGTAGCTGTGGGGAAGTAGTCACCTCTGACATGTCACACAATTCCAAAGGCCAGTAGGGAACCCATTTTCTGCTTGTTCTGTTTTTTGAAGGCAGTGACTGTTTTTTTTTCCCCTAAATTGAGGTGTAATTGACGTATAACCATAGGTTACTTTCAGATATAGAAAAGTGAATTGATATTTACATGTATCGCAAAGTGATCACCTGGGGCAACAGCTTATGTATGTCAATTACCAACATGTGAAAGAGTAGATTTCTTTAACCACTTAAAATGTTTCAGTTCAAAATATTATTCTGTGAAGTGTTGTATTTTTTTGTATATGATACAGAACTGTATTCACCTTATTCCAGCCATTGAAGAGCACATTGATGAGTTCACCCTTAATCTGTGTCTTTCTCTGTGAGAGGACCAGTGGTTTTAGCCTGTCCTTATGGAGCAGTGAGCCACCAGATAACACTGTAACGATATATTCCCAGCCCATCTCTGCTTTGGTATTTTACCTGTCACTAACTAAACTTTTGCAACAGCCTGATCTCTGCCATTCTATTATCAAACTCTAAATTTTCCCTAAGTAAGCCTATACTGGCTCTTTCAAATTTCAGCTTGATTAATTTGAGAGTTATTTTGGGGAAAAAAGGATAAATGAGAACATAGGGTAAAAAAATAGAAGAGCTACCACAGGCACATTTTTTATGAAATGTTTGGAGGTAATAGGAACAGCTGCAATGAGTTGATGAGTAAAACTTCGGGAAATAGTTTGGGGAAGATGATTGTAAAGAGGTTTTGCTGTGTGTCATGCTGGAATACCCTATGATTTGAACTTATTTTTCTTTCTTTGTGTGTGGATTTACATGTGGTTTCTTTTATTTACTTGTTTGTTTTCTGAGCACAGCAGTGAATCAGGGAAAGAGCAAGCATCCCAAGCTGTACAGTCATTCATTCAGTAGTATTTTCTGAGTATATCCATGGTGTCAGGCACTGTTCTAGGCACTGAGGACACATCATTGAATAAAACAGACAAAGATCCTTGGGCTTGGAAAGCTCACATTCTGAGGAAAGGGGAGGAAGAACAAATGTAATGAGTAAATATTACAGGAAGTTTGAAGAAATAAGTGCTATTAAAAAAAAAAAAAAACGTAGTGCAGATGGAGGACTGGCATTCCTCCAGAGAATGCTGGATTCCAAGAGATTGAGGTGCTGGGTTGCAATTTAAATAGGTTGGTCAGGGGGTGCCTGGGTGGCTCAGTCAGTTAAGCATCCGACTTCAGTTCAGGTCATGATCTCATGGCTCATGAGTTCAAGCCCTGCATCAGCCTCTGTGCTGACAGCTCAGAGTCTGAAGCCTGCTTTCAGTTCTGTGTCTCCCTCTCTCTCTGACCCTCCCCCATTTATGCTGTGTCTCTCTCTGTCTCTCAAAAATGAGTAAACGTTTAAAAAAATTAAAAATAAATAAATAGGTTGGTCAGAGTTAGCCTCATTGAAAAGGTAATATTAGTTCAAGACCTGAAAGAGATAATAGAATTTGCCAATTCTGTTAGCAAAGAGAATAGACAATGCAGAGAGAAGAGTCCATGTAACGAGCCTGCCTGACATGATCTAGGACCACGTAGAGTAATGACATGATGTAGCTTACAGTTTAAAAGAATAACTCTCGCCGTGGGAAGGTGAAAGGTAGAACAGGCAGCTTCTTGTAATCCAGGTGAGAGATGCTGGTGGCCTAAGACCAGGGTGCTAGCATAAGAGGTAATGAGATATGGTCAGTTCTGAAAATACTTAGAAAGTGGAGTCAGTAGTGTTTCTTGGTGGATTAAGTGTAAGAGTTAGAAGATAAACCCAAATTATTTAGTAAAAGCACTTGGAAGGAAGGAGTTGCCATGTCCCAGTGGGAAGACTGGTGGTAGAGAAGATTGGTCCAGGGTTATGGAAAAATATCAGGAACAAGTGTTGGGCATGAGTTGGAAGGTCTGTTGGACATAAGTGGACATGCCAAAAAGGCCACTGGATCTTTGTAAGAAACAAGCATGTACCTGCCGATCACACAATGAAATGTTGTGTCTGACACCATCTCCATGTTTGCCTATTGAGGCCCTCTGGTTTCTTTAGCTGTATTTCATAAACAGGATAGACCTGGAAGGGGAGAAGATGAGTAGTGGGCAGGAGGTCTCTTCTAACATCGGAAGCCTGTAGCTTTACTCTTTGAGGGATATTCAATTGCTAGAATATTCTCTGAAAATGATAAAATACCTAACAGATAGCTTCTTTGTTTTTCCCTGGATGATTGTCACCTTTGATCTGCTCCTACTGCCGTTGTATTATTGGATCCTTGTGACAAATGTCTTCAGGTGCTGACTCAACTCCTATTCACCACCCACATCTCTAACCTCTTTGTAGGTGTGAGTATTTGAGAGCCAAAAGTCTGCAAAACACTCCTGTGACTGTCTAGAGTTAGACTTATTCCCTTCCTTCCACGGGATAGCACAAAGGCAGGGTTGGGTGGAGAGCAGTTAGGGAAGGGAATCGGGAATGAGCCCTGGCAGGTGTTGGTCAGAATTTGTAAATTAGGAGAGTTACCCTAACAGACTGTGGACCTTGTGAATTCATGTGGAGTTACTGCTTGACTCTCTTATCTATGACTCTCACCTGGGACATATGGGATGCAGACGGTGGGGTTAAAATATTTTGAGCTTAACTAGGTGGTATTCAGGATTGGTCTGACAAAATATACCTGTTTTGTGAGTAACATTAATAATACAGTCCGTCTTGCTAGTTGTGATTTCTATATTAATCATAAAGCCACCCTCACAGCTTAGCTTCCGGAGAGAGTTTTTTCCTTTGTCCTCACCAGGAATTACGATGTAACATAGTCCTGGATAATGAGAGAGATAAGCAGAAGTCAGCTGTGATGTTCTTGAGGAAGCTTTTATTTTCTTGATACAGACGTCACTCCTTCCCCTCCACTGTCCTTGTTCAGATGCCTGAAGTTCTTGGTCAAGAACACAAATGAGCGAGAGCCAACAATTACCTTCACTCGTTTTTTATGTGAAAAGAAATTCCTGTGTATTTAAGCTACTGTG